TAAAATATTTTTTTATTTCAAAATCTTTATTATCCAAATAAGTGTTATTGGTGTTAATTTCAATATTTTCAAGCCTTTACAGGAACAAATACACAGGCCTTTTCACATTCACCTTTAGAATCGAAATTATTCTCATTTCCATCACAACCACCATATATGAACTCAATGCATTCGTTCGATTCGCTAATGTAGGTCCACTTGGGGAATGAACCAAAACAAACTCCTACCTTGGAATTTACTTGGCTGCAACGTTCTAAAAAATATTAAAATAAGGGTATAAAACATTTAAATGTCCGTTCTTAAAATAATATGAACATATTTTACCAGCCTTATCGGCAATCGATGATTGCACCAAGACAGCAATGGCTATTAAGAATATAGCAAAGATTTTCATTGTTGTAATACGAGTATGTCCACGTGAGGGTTCCGCTTGTAACTGATGCGGATTTCATATTACTGTGGCTTTTTATACACAAAATAGCAAATTGTTTGAGTATAAAAACATCAATACCAATGTGTTTAGGCTATTTAGGATAAGTAGGCTCATGTATGTATAATAGTCAGATCAGTTCTTGCTGTGTGTTTATTCGAACCAATTCTATTTTTATTGTTTTTAACATATACAGTAGTTAACGAGACCTAAACCTATAGTCACTTTTGTTGATAATCGTAGAAACACGTTTTTAGTTTATTTACGTTTGTCCTTCCCCGTTAGCTCGTCGTTTGTATTTTTGTTGACAAAAATCAGGTTGCTTTTATTATCCAATTGTGTGAGGGCACGATTATCTGACCAAAGGATATATTTATCATTTACATTACATTTTCTCATTGATGGATTCATTAAAGTTTTATCGAAGGTATTATGATGTGTAGAGTTTGTAAGAAAGCGGAAACTTGTCAAAATATTAGTTTAATTTAAATTTTGGACAAAAACAGATAATCCGTACGCCGGATATTATAATTGGGGAGGTGCTAGAATAAATCGTGTGATATTCAGCCTTATAGTTTATATGCTAACGTTTTTTCCCATGAGATTTTTGATAATAAATATTTTATTAAAATTAATAGGAATTTTTTTTCCAAAAAAAAAATATATTAACATAATGACTTGGTCTGGTAAAACAATAATAAAACAGTATGTCATTGTACCTATTAGTTAAAATTTATAAAAAAACCAAAAATTATAAAATAAAAAATGTTATGAGGCTTGAAAGGAAAAAGTTTTCAAAGGCGACCCATCTTCCCTACCCAAACAAACTTTATTTTAAGACTAGGTGGATATGTGCCAATTTTTAATACTTTAAATAAAAATTCTACATTTTCCGAATAAAACAATCATTTGTTAAATTTTCTAATGTCCCATGTTTAAGAAAACATCTTTATTTTCGAAAAAGTGTTTGTAGAATTAAATTGATGTTCAATCTACACAAATAGTTTCACATTGCTCTTTAGAATCGAAATTATTTTCATTGCCGTAACAACCGCCATAGATGAATTCAATGCATTCCTGTGTTTCGGCATTGTAGGTCCACCTTGGGAATGCAGCCAAACATGACCGACCTTCCTCATCAGTGGTCTTAGAATGTTCTTGACCGCATCTTTCTAAAATATTACAAATATATATATATATATATATATATTTTTTTTTTTTAATTTTCCATAAAAAAATAAATAAACAAAAATAATATTACCATTTTTAAGGGCAACCGAAGAATGCACCAAGACGGCAATGGCGATCAAGAAAATAGCAAAGATTTTCATTGTTGTAATATTTTCACGAGAGTGTTCAGAACGCAACTGATGCGGATTTCTTATTGCTAAGGCTTTTTATAGACAACTTGCTGCTAATAGGATTCCACAATACAAATGCGTTCATACTGTGAATGTATGTGTTTTATCATCGCTTCCTTCAATTCACTTAGCGTTCAGTTGCACAATTTTTTTCTTTGTTTTTAGCATACATAAGATCGATGTACAGTATATTATACACAGAATAAAAGCATTTGCATGTAGGTCCAATAACAATTATTTTATCTAATGAATTGTTGGATTTTTCTATTATTTACCAGCCCAATGAAAATCTTGAAAAATTAAAATCGAGAATGAGGGAGGTCCCCTTTCCAACCAAAGTTATGTTATGCCTGATTTTCAATAAAAAATTATAATTTTCCAAAACAAAAAAAATTCATATTCAAAGGAAAATTTGTATTTTCACAAAAAAATTGTATTTGTATAATTAAATCGATGTTCATTCTAGACAATTTGATTCACATTCCTCTTTAGTAATGAAATTATTTTCATTTCCATTACAACCGCCATAGATGAACTCGATGCATTCCTTTGTATCGGCATTGTAGGTCCATCTTCGGAATGAGGCCCCGCATGATATGCCATGTTCATCTGTGGTCTTGGAATGCTCTTGACCGCATCTCTCTAAAAAAGAAAAAATATATTTTAATTTCCTCCAGATTTTTTTTTTTAAATATTATTACCATTTTTAAGGGCAAACGAAGAATGCACCAAGACGGCAATAGCGATTAAAAATATAGCAAAGATGTTCATTGTTGTAATATTTTCACGAGACTGATGCCGAATTTCTTATTACTGTGGCTTTTTATAGACATAATTGTTGATGTTGTTATAAGGAATTCGCAATACAAATGCGTTGTAAGCTCATGTATGTGTGTGTGTGTGTTTATATTTGATATTGTTGCAGAATTTCTTCTTTACACCCTACATCATGTTGTTAGACTTTTTGCATTTGTATGTAACATGCTGAAAGGAATAATATAGAACCATGTTCGTACATGTAAAACCAATGAATTCCATTGAATTACTAGAATCACTTTTTGCGTGGATTTGCGCATGTTCTTGGTTTCAGAGAATCAATTTTTTATTTGTATTTAATTTGAGCCTATAATTTCACAACCAGTGTTGCAAAAAAAAAATAATAATAATAGTAGTAAATAAAATAATTTAAAAATAATATATAAGCAAGTAAAAAAAGTGTCAGATGCCCTCAGCCTATGGTTTGCGGATGAGGTCTTCGGTGTTATACACAGGTTTTATTATTCGTTTTATATAAGGTATATTTTTAATTCAAGATGTTTTGGATTTTATGTTATCAAATACTTAATATTGACCCTTTTTGTAGGATGTACAGGTGGGATCACATGATTGTCGCAATGCGCCAATTTAAACCAATTTTTATTGTCCAAAGTTTTACTACAATAAATAAATTGTCACAATCAAATTCTCTGCGGTCACATGATTGTCCAACTTTTCATAAATTTGATTGCCGCATATTGTCTCAAAACCATCAAGTGACAATTATTGTCCAACTTCAGTCACACGATTGTTCTACTACACGGCAAATATCAGAAGCAGCTGCTATGTGTCAAAGTTTGTTTATTAAAAATGTTAAAGCATTTAAAAATTTGTTTTATTAAGATGTGTTCTTTAAAAAAAAAGAAAATTGCAGCAGCTATAATTATGGTGTGTGCATTTGACGATGAGAAAAATGAAAGGAAAGAAAAGAAAAAAAAAGTAAATAGAAGTACGTGGGTCAGAGAGTGGCTCACAAAAAGAAGCACTGATGGTGCATATGACAAAACATTAATGGAATTCCGGGAAATCGAAAACCAAAAGTTTTTGTTTAAAAATTTTATCCGGATGGATGACGAAACGTTTATCGAATTGTTGCAACTAGTGTCACCATATATTAAAAAACAAGACACAAACATGCGAAAGGCTATTCCCGAACAAATACGCTTAGCTGTGACACTTCGATTTCTTGCATCTGGTGACAGTTATAAAAGTCTTTCGGTCTTCTTCCGTGTTGCCCCAAATACCATATCACTTTTCGTACCAATTGTTTGTGATGCTATTTATAAAGCGTTAAAAGGTGCATACATAAAGGTATGAAAAATCTAAATACACACATATTTATGCTTTTTAATTGACTTATTATTTCTTTTGATATGTATGTAGATACCATCCACGCAGGAAGAATGGAATGTCGTTGCTTTCAAATTTAACAAACTATGGAACTTCCCGAACTGCATAGGGGCGGTTGACGGCAAACATGTGCAAATTATAGCACCACCTAATTCAGGAAGCACCTTCTATAACTATAAAGGTACACATAGTATAGTGCTAATGGCAGTTGTTGATGCCGAATACAACTTTTTATACGTTGATGTTGGCTGTAATGGTCGTGTGTCGGATGGTGGAGTCTTTGGAGACTGTACTTTTCAACGTGCTTTAAACAATAATGAGCTAAATTTGCCACTTCCAAAACCATTGCCAGGTCGTCAAGCAAATGTTCCATTTGTTTTGGTTGCGGATGATGCTTTCCGCATGCAGAAACATTTGCTGAAGCCATATCCTGGTAAAAGTTTATCTGCAGGGCAGAGAATATTTAACTACAGGCTATCGAGAGCACGACGTGTTGTAGAAAATGCATTTGGCATAATGGTCAAGCGATTTCAAATTTTTTCACGCCCTTCCAAGCTTAATGCAGAGAAAACAACCTCTACAACTCTAGCTTGCTGTGCATTACACAATTTTTTGTTAAAAAAAAATTTAAATTATACAACGTCGTTGCTTGTTGATCGCTACGATGAGGACGGTGCTTTAATTCCTGGTACATGGCGAAATGACTTCCCACTAGATGCTGTGAGTGGAACAGAAAATGTTCCAAGTTCTTATATAACAAGTGAAGCAAAGGCTGTTCGGGATGAAATGGAAAAGTATTTCATGTCTCCTATTGGAGAATTGAGCTGGCAATATAAAAATATATAAATAATTTTATATATCAAATAAAATTTAAACTTTAATTTAAAATCAGAAAATTTACTACTTTTATTTAATTCATTTTTAGTATCTAAAAAAATACGGACTAGGAAGGTACTTCAATATTGCAAACAAAATAACAAAACAAAAACTTACATATACATACTATAAAAATTCAATTTAAAAAATGAAATATAACGCAAAAAATTTATCAAGGCTTAATCATCTTCTTCAGCTTCCAAAGCTGCATCCATTACGACTTTGACAAGCTGGAAATGCAGTTTGTTCGCAGCCTTCTTGTTTTTCTTGGCAATTTCTCGCATTTGTGATGCCAAATACATCCCAATCGCGTGCCAATTATCTTCCTCCGCATCTAAACACTTAACTGCACGCTGCAAAATGTCACTTTTGTCTACCTTTACAATCTCAGCAGCGGCATGTTGTGAAGTACTTCCAGAGTCATCCAAATCTAATGTTGACACTGTACTTGACATTTTTGACACAGAGTGGTCGTTGTAAAATTGCATTGCAGACCAATGCGGCCAATGTGGTATGGTATTTTCGGCTCCCTGACCAGATTTTGATTTTAGTTTTTTTTTTACATTTTGAAAGGCCGTTTTAATGTTGCACCATTTGGCCTTGCAGTCTTCCACCGTGTGCCCTGTACACATTTTTTCAATTTCCCGCCATGCCTGCTCCCGTTTATTCCTATCTTTGTACTCGGTGGATGAATACTGCCAAACACATGGATGCTGTTCCACAGCTTGTATCAGCTCCTGTATTGCAGTGTAGGTCCAGGAACAAATTACACTTGGTTTTTTTCTTTTTTTCGGCACAGGTGTTTCTGGTTGCTGATCGGGGGAAAAGAACTCAAGCTCAGCTGAATTTTCGTATACAATGCAATCACCGAATTCCATATTAAAGCTGCAAATACATAATATGAACATAATTATAGCAAATACAACAATTTAAATTAACTTTACTTTACTTACGACAAAGAAATGTTGACGGTACAAACACAAGAAAAAATATTATTTAAAAAAAAATCAGGTTATTGACGCGTATTGTCTTCTTTGATTGACGCACTAGAAAACAATAAATATTGACGCATTTTTCAACTTTAAATTTGCGCAAGGTTGTCTATTAACAGTTCACACGATTGTCGTACCAGAGTTGTATTTGATTGCCGCAAATCAGCACAATTTATTTTTGATTGTCGCATTGGACAATAAATTGTGCAATCACACGATTGGCATATAAAATGCACCAATAATTGGCGCATTGCGGCAATCATGTGATCCCGCCTTACCAGAGGAGAGGGCAGACAGGTCCTTCGGACTTCTTGAAGGATTGGTAAAGATAATAGGTTGAAAATTTAGACCTTTATCGGGGGATGTGCCAGAAGGTGTGGACGAATGGGTCACATCTTCAAGCTTGATCTAGGCTTGGTAAAGGTTATAGATTGTGAAAAGTTTTATTCAAATCGGAAATTTCATTTGACTGATATGTGATATATAAATATTGAACATTTTGACCATTTGTGGGTGAGGTACCAGAAGGAATGGACCAATGGGTCTCATCTTCGGAATCGATTTAGGCTTGGTAAAGATAATAGGTTGTGCAAAGTTTGGTTCAAATAGGATAGTCCGTTCGAACGATAATGAATTTATAAATATTGAAAATTTTGACCTTTTTCGGGGGATGTGCCAGAAGGTGTGGACCAGGGACGTACGCAGGGGGGCACGCCCCCCCCCCCCCCCCCCCCCCCCCCCGATATGAAATCCTGTGTACGTTGATGGTGTAGACCAATGCGTCCCATCTTCAAGCTTGATCTAGGCTTGGTAAAGATTATAGGTTGTGCAAAGTTTGGTTCAAATTGGACATTCCATTAGCCTGAAGGTATAAAAATAAGGCTGAGGGTCTAAAAATTACCCTTTAGAGAGCACTTCTTTCATATACCCAATGTGGTGTAGGAGATCTTAATGTCGGCCACAACCAACTGGATGGATTTACTTATATGTGTTTAAAAATAAAATTGATGGCCCTTTTTTATTATCTGATATTTTTGTTCTGGAAAAATCCCACTTCACTTGTTTTTCGCATTGAAAAATTTTACTATACAACTTGCAATTCTATTATAAGTTATGATATAGAAATGGTTCTGCATGCTAAAAACTCCTGTGAAGAGATTCTAGTCTAGGCTGTCATAATAAACACTAGCAATTCGCAGCATGTCCTGTCCTCTTCATGCAAAAAATGCACATTAACAATTGTCGAAGTAAGGATATTAAAAACTAGTTTTAAATTCATAAGAGAAACCAGTAAGCAATCAGAATCTTTTGTAGAACTGAATTACATTTTGAGTCAATGAACGGGAGTGTGTGTATGAATATATGATTACGTTCCTAAATAATGGCATACAATCACGATAGTGCGTAGTCGCTAGGTGGATGCTATAATCAACACCTTGAAATATTCTTTGAATATAAACCTTTGATATTTACGCTTAATCATTTGCTAACCCTTTCCTATTCCTCAAAGGACCAAAATATTCCTTGCAGAAAATCCTTAATAAATTGGCTACTTTTCGTCACAAAATAACTCCTAGTAGAAAAGGTTTAAAATAGGTCCTACTAAAAATATTTGAAACTATACCACTATGCATCATCCTGAACGTAATTGGGCCCAAAACTACTATTGTTTGTCTGGGCAGCTGACGTTCTTCAGCTGCGATGGGCGGAGGTTAGCTCCGAGTACAGCATTCACTCCGTATTCATTCAGCGCTGCGGCATCTGCATCAGGTTGAACTTTCAAACTTGACCGGAGGGAAGTGTTCTCGATGTCTTCAAACAGTGTGGCATGATTGACTGTATCAGAGGCTTTTGAAGGTCAAGCGATACCAACACTGTTCTATGGCACGGCCGGTTCAGGTTAAGTCTTTGACTTATATGTGTGGAAATGGCTTGCAACGATATTTTTGTCCTGTGTTGCTTAAGGAACCCATGTTGATGATTAGCAATTGGAAAACTTTCCCAAATGCCTGGCAGGTGTAATGCCTCAAGAGTCTTCCATACTGGTGACAAAAGTGAAATCAGCCTGTATGACTCAACTTTGCTGACATCTTTGTCTGGCTTTATTAGCGGGACCACTCTGTCTATTTTCCGGAGCTCATCACGCCCATTTGCTGGATCAACTGCTTCTGCTGGTGATCTCGTGTGATCGACCAGCAGGTATAAATCTAGCGGCTGCAGCGCCAATGAATTTCATTAATTCCAATATCTCGTCTATTTTTCCTCGAACCTCGACCATTGTCAAAACAATATTGGACTGCTGTCGAGAAGACTGTGATGGAGTTCCGTACCCCGAGGAAGTATATGACGTCGTGAACGAAGACTCACTGAGGGTATCGCTGCAGCACCACAAGACAACGTAATCCCGTTGTCTTGCAATCGAAAAACCCTGAAACAATTCCTGAAGTGCACACACTCCCAGCACCATTACATCTCACCGACACTGACCTGTAGAGAAGCATTCAGGGATATGTTGATCCCAAAACAGAAAATCAAACAAAAACTGGGGAGGCAGCCGCTGGCCGAGTACTTTCGGGTTAATCCAGTATCGTAGAACCCGCTGCCATGGGATAGTATTTTTATATATATTAAATAAGGACATGGTGTTGGTAGGCCCATCCACTATTTCTGCTAATTACCCCCAGATGCTGAACACTTTGAAAAATCCTTCCTTGGACCTAATTTGGTAGTTATTATTGTTGTTTACACTAAAAATTTGATCATCATATTCGAAAAAGTCAATGAACATATTATTTATAACATTGATTATAAAATATTTATTTTTATTTATTTTTTTATTTATTGCTTGCACTTCTTCTCACATTCAGCCTTGGAGGTGAAATTATTATCGTTTCCGCGACAACCGCCATAATTAAATGGGACACATTCATTGGTCTTGGCCAAGTAGGTGAAACGTTTTTGGGTAGCACGGCACTGGCCAATTTCCATTGGTGGCTGATCACAGGCAGCTGGATTAGAGATTAATATTTAGTAGTGTTTTATTTCAATGTTACCCCTCAAAAAACAAACTTACGATCTTTAAGAGCTGCCACACTTAAAGCCAACAAAGAAAGAGTCAAGAAAAATACGAAAAATTTCATTTTTGTTGAATTAGTTAGACGTCTCAAACAGAAATAAACCACTGGTGCGTAGCGTTAGCCATATTTATAAGCACTGAATATGTTAATGGGCCGTGGTCCTCATGCCGCCTACATCTATGGCCGGTTTTCGAATTATTATTAATTAACAAAAGTGCTTTCATTTAAATGTTTAAAGACAATCAAAGACAAAACAAACAACAATTTGTTATTGAATTCGTTTGGTGGGTGACTGGGTCAATGAACTTCTCTTCGGAGAAATATCTTCAACCAAAAAAAAAAAAAAAAAAAGAGTTCATTATGTCACGACAGTGAAAGTTAATGGTGGGTTATTAAAAATATAGGTTTTGGATTTGCAATAAAATTAACCCATTGAGAGAACACAAACATGGTTGATAAACATTTATGGCGGATTTCTGTATAACATTTTCTTTATTATTAAATAATGAGTTCGTTCCAATATGTTGGTAAAAAATCGTTTCAGTTATAAATATTTCCATCTCACACGTTCAATATAGTGTATTTTATTCATCGTTTAATATTCTATGATGTACTTTCAATATCTGCAGGTGTGGCATCAGTATTTAGACTTAGTTCCGGGATTTCGGTTGATTCTGGGGCTTGAGTTACTTCTTCATTTTTAGGCAGTATGGGATTCCAACAAGTTCTTTCACACTCCTCCTTGGTAAAGAATTTGTTCTCATTTCCCAAACATCCGCCATAGGTAAATTTAACACACCTGTGTTCATGCAAGAGATAGGTGTAACGGATTGATGATGCACGACAGGGACCTGGGTCACCGGGTGGTTGTTGACAAATGTCTATGGGGGAATGTAGAACTATTTTATTCTTGTTCTTATATTCCTAAACATGCCAGTCGTTCTTACCTGAAATGCCAAATACCATGGACACGGTTATGGAGAACACCAACAGCAAAATAATAGTTTTCATTTTCGTTTCTTTGCTACTTGAGTTTCTTCGTCTTGATCAAAATACAACTGACTGGTGGCTGGTCATAAAATCGATCACATATTTATAGGGATCTTCCCGGCAGCTTCCAAACAAAGGATGTTTACAGTTTTTTTTAGGATAAACAATTTTATTAAGAATTATTTATGCTTGCCCGGAAGCATTGGGTTCAAGGACATTTGTTGCAATATTGAACAGTGTTTTGCTTTGTGGGGTATTTCGATAATAATAATAAAAAACAAACTTCCAAATTTGAATACATTGCTTTGCAATAGGCTGTGTGGTTGCTACTTGTGTTGGATGTCTTAATTTTATTATCAGAGTCAAACATTGAGTCAATCAAGACACCCAGTAATGAATTCATATATATTTTTTTAGTTTTGTAATACTGTACACATAAATTAGTCTTCGATAGTATGACTGTGCATTTTTTACATTCATTCAACCTGTTCCGTTTAAAACAAGTTCAGGTTATCTGTAGCGAGCCCTTTTAAGCTATGACTGACTAAAGTACAGTACGAATACCATACGCCTCATACATGTAAATGTAAATAAACGTAATTTTTTTCAGAGAATTTTGAGAATCAAAAACAGGTGCTTTGTCGTATTTAACACCAACCAACCATCAACCATAAGATGACAATTAAATTTGGACTGCTACATGTAAATCCCCAAATTATAGATAATAATTTTCAGAACCGCAAGTTTTTAATGGGATTCTAAATTTATGCGGGTATAATGGAATAGAATTTCTGTACTATTCTAACACATAATATCGCCTAATTTAAATAATAATTGGATATTGTAATTATAATTCATCACAATCACAAATTCATTTGCAATTCGACAATTACATTTAGATTTCGAATTATTTGAATTGCAATTCGAGGATATCGATCGAACACGATAATGATATTTAAGATACATTTCACACACATTGCTACTATTGGAAATGGAATATATCGGTCCACGTTTTGATACAGACTGCATATAAGAGTCCCCTAAATATTCCGGATTTTGGTCATGTTTTTAAACCTAGTTGACTCGAGTTTGGTATTTTGAAATCTCATATGGTAACAAATCTTCCTAACAAATATTATAAATATTCATCCGCATTTTAGTATAGCCTTATAAAATTTCGGTATTTTGGGGAGTTTGACCAAAATTTTAAACCATATTCTACACACTTTTGCAATTTGGGTTGAAAGTCTCCCTATAAAAAAATATTTATATTGGACCAAGTTTCAGGGTAGACCACATATAGCGGTACCCGATTATTCGATGTATATGTCCTCAGCCTTATGGGTAATGAGGGTACATACACTTTTTTGTTTTAGACCCCATGTTTCTTCGGATCAAACCCGTTTCAGACAATTTGGAATCGATTTACAAATGTCCGCCAGTCTGTTTGTTTGGTTGGCTGGTGCGCACGATAATTCTCGAAAGAAGTAACCGATTTCACCCAAACTTTGCACATTGTAATATTTCTTTCAAACTTAGTTCAAGTTCGAAGATGAGGAATATCGATCCACTTATCTGCCATAAAATGCTCAAAATGCAGGTAAAATTTAATTTTAAAATATCTTAAGAACGGACTATCCGGTTTGAACCAAACTTTGTACAACTTATTATCTTTACCAAGTCAAGTTCGAGAATGATATACATTGGATCACTCCTTCTGGTACCTTCCCCACAAGGGGTCAACATTTTCAATACTTTTAAATTCAGTATTCTGATTTGAGTCAAACTTTGCGGAACATATTACCTTTACTTCTAGTACCTCCGCCAGAAATAGTCAATTTTTAATATTTATTTCAATATTTATAAATCCAATATAAGGCGAATGGAATGACCGATTGATACCAAACTTTGCACAACCTATTGTCTTTACCAAGCCTAGATCTAGTTCAAAGGTGGAACCCGTCGGCCCTCTCCTTCTGTTACTTACCCCACAGAGATTCAAAATTTTCAATATTTTTAAATCCCATATTGGGCGATTGGAACCAAGCTTTGCACAGCTTATTATCTTTAACAAGCCTAGATCAAGTCCTCCTTCCGGTACCTTCCCCACAAATGGTAAAAATGTTTATTAATAAAACTTTTCACAACCTCTTGTCAAACCTATATTAAGTCCGGACCCGTCGGTCCTCAATATATAAACTTGTAAATTTTATTTGAAGCGAATTTTAATCAACAACCGATTTGATTTTAAATCCGACAACTGTAAGTAACTACGAAGAACTCCGCAAACCATAAGTTGAGAGTATATTTCTTGTTTTTGGAGGAATTTGAGCAAGATTTTAAACCGAATGCGCTAAAATTTGATTTTGTTGCTGTCCAGATCTATCCCATTTTTTTTCGTTCTTTTTTCTGCAGGCTGTTATTTTTTTTCCATAATAAACATCTACTTACTTTTCTCTTAAACACTGTACAGGAATTGCATATCAAATGTAGTAACCGATACAATGAATGTGTAGTCAGTTTCAATATTGTGGTAATTTTACGAACAACAAGTTCCGTTTTGTTGGATTTTCGCTATAGCCCGTACAATGATTTGCACAAATTTGTAACCGGTTTAAACTGTGAAAAGAATGACAAGGGAGCATCAGCAGCCTCTTAAGTTCACACCTGTTTTCAGTTGAAGATTGAGTATGACTATTGATGTGAAGCAAATCTTCAGTTTTATAAAAAATTTAGTAGTTGGTCTAGGACCAATATAACTCTTGAAGAGGGTAAACGATTTCATCCGATATTTAAATGATCATAAATCATTTTCGAAGGTGTGGAATATTGATGCACTTCTTTTGCTACTTCCCCACAAATATTGGTCATACCTTCCCTATGGAGCCTAAAATCAATATTTTGATAAGGCACATTTTGCCCTATCAAAGTATATATACCTCCATTAGTCATAAGGCTGAGGGTATAAATACTCCACCTCAGGAAAATAAAATACCATTTAAAATATTATATATGATATTAGAAATTCTCCAACAATGAAATGTCCTCACAAAAGCATTTCCGATTTCAGCTTCTCAATATACGTAAAATAATGTGCATACTAATAAAAAATGCTTGTTTTTGTTTTGTTTAAAATTGAACAATTTTATTTCTATCGTAATTATTCTTTACATTTCTCTTCGCATTCTTCTTTAGTCACAAAATTGTTTTCATTTCCCTGGCAGCCACCATAGACGAATGAAATGCATTCATTAGTATCGGCGTTGTAGGTAAATTTGGGTATTTCGGCACGACAGATTCCAATGACACCGGATGGCAAGCCACAAATTGCTAGAAATCAAAAGAAGAATAACAAATAAAATATAAAATACAAAATTATAAAAATTTATTTGAATTAAAATCTTTCAAAGCCGATGAAAAGGAAATTAGAGATTATAAAATTGACTACTAATTTCATTTTGAGGTGATATTATTTCTAGTTAAATATTGTTTTACAACTGAATGTGAATATCCAGTGACTGGAATATTTGTAATCAGTAGCATTTCTTATCAACTATTTGACAAACTACCGGTGTTATTTTCAAACCGAGGATGTTGTGATAAGCCAGCTACTACTGTAAACATGTAGGTAAACAGATAAGTGTGGGAAATTTTATGTGTTACTATAATGTCCTTAAAAACACAAACAATTTCCGTTTACGATCATGGCATAATTATAGTAGGTAGTCTCATGCAATCATATGTTTCCAAATTGTTCTTAAGGATAATACATTTAAATGAACTTAATATCCTACGAAATTTACGCACAGCATATATTCAGTGACAAAAATTAGCTCAATTACTTATATTTATTGAAATTTCGAAGATTCCTGCTTCTAAAACGCATAAATATAGTTACTCGAATAATGTGCAGATTAAGAAAATATAATGTTTTATATCGTATATCGACATACATACATAAGGAATTTATTTTTCCTTTTATATTATATATGATTCTCGATTTTAATTTTTCAAGATTTTCAATGGGCTGTAAATCAATACCAATGCTTGTTAAGGTTTGTAACTTTGCACATATATATTTGAAGATTTAAAAGAGAAGAAAAATAATTTACAAAAAATTTATGTTATTGTTTTGTTGTTGTTTTTTGTAATTAAAGAAAAGTCCTTATTTTGGATGGCGGGCATGATAACTCCTCACTGGAACATCGGAATCCGAAAATTCCAACGGTGCTAGAAAGAGTACATGTCTGGCTATATGAACTAGGATTATTGACTTCGCTCTAAAATTAACAAAATGGTGGACCTTTGAAAAAATATTTTTGGAAAATGGCCGATTTTTTACCAAAAACCAAGTTAAAAAATAAGGAAGATCTTCACCGATTGGCTTCATCCTAGTTCATACGATAGCTATATACTCACAGAGAAACGTGTAAAAATTTGAAATCGATTGGGTTATTAGTTTTTGAGTTATCGTGCCCGCCAATCACAAAAAATGTTTAGAGAAAAACGCGTTTCAAGTTTGAGAAGCCCTTCAGCCGTCACTTGATGCTGACACAATAAATCGGCTATATCTTCAAGAGTTCTTGAGATTTTCACTTGAAATTTTGTAGGGACATTTATTAATTAGTGTAGATTCGAATTATATCAACAAAAATTTTGACCCCGAGAATGGGGGGGTCCCCTTAAATTAATATATGAGTTTCATATTTAAAATTTCTCAAATGCGACTGCCTTCCATGATTACGCCGGTTGTTTAAAAACTATTTATTTTTTTCTTCACTACAATCTTCTTAACGTTATAGTAAAATATATTGTATTACTGTGGTATTTTCTTCAGGGAATTAAAATAATCCAGCTTTTTTTTCATAAAACTAGTCTCACTTTAGATTATTTTCGTGTTAATGAACTTACGATCCTTCAAGGCCACGGATGTTGCAACCAAGGCAAGGAGCACAGACAACAGCAAGGCAAAAACTTTCATGTTGGTAAAATTATTGAAAATAGGCAATGTTCTTTGTTTGGTATTTAAAACGGAACTAGATGCGTTCGAATGCTTCTACTAGTTATATATACAGACATACATCGTCACATGCATATATGTTATCGCAGTGTGCATTATGTATATTCTTTCCTCTCTTCGCTAGACATTCTCTCATGTCAGCATATTGTTTTATACCTGAACTATTGTTTAATTTAAATTTGAATTCCGTATAGGATAGGTCAAAGTAGAGATAAGGGTATTTGTTGTTTTTCTGATTCTTGCTGTCACGAATGAAACAAACAAAATATGTTTGAAATTATGAAAATTATTTAGAAATTTTCAAAATTAAAAACTTAGTTCGTTGGCAGGAAGTTGAAAGAAACTATTAAATATAGGAGATTTCCTAGAGATAATTGAATATAACCTCAACAAAGCAAAATATATTCAAGAATTTTATCACTTTAGAAAAAGTTTTGATATTGTATAAAACCGATCCTCCTACATACATTTTTAGAATATATTAAATCGAAATTCATTTTGTTCTATTCTACATCTTATGATTTTCGCCATAATTTCATAATTTCATTCGTTTATAATACAAGTAGAAAATCTTAAAATTATGAGGAAGCCACTATTTTTTCCAACACATGCAAACTTTTGACTTGTATCAAAACTATTTCTACTTTACTACTATCTGCGTTCATTTTTCTCTCTCTCTCATTTTCATACGCAAATGTATTTCTCTCAAGAAAAAAGCCACCACCATGCATTGTTCCGTTGTGTTTTGTTCTGATATCGTATTCTGTCTCTCTGTCTCACTTGGTGGTTGTTAGACAAATGTTTGTTTGTCTATCGTTTCGCTTGTTTACAAACGTCTCTCCACTCACTCGATTGTGGCTAGTTTTAAATTCCATTGCATATTACACACATTTTTCCGACCTTTGTATTGGTGTTATAAAATTCGCATTTGTGTTTTCCAAATGATTTCGATATAAATGGCAAATACTATATAACAAATAAATGTTGATACGAACAACAGAACCAATCGAAAGTTTAACATTATATAGGATTGTTATAATGTCGCAAAAAAATCTAGTATTTATGTAAGAAAAATATAGACAAGATAAAACAAAGAAGAAAACATAAAAGCAATTAGTTTATACACCAAAATCAACTTCAAAACTTGTATACCACCACCATACTGAGGTACAGGATAATATGTATTTGTACATATGTTTGTAACAGGTAATAGGAAACGAGATGGACACATGATTCCATGAAATTTGACACAGCTCATTAATTTGGCCAAGGACGGACCCTATTGAAATTGGGAAAAATCAGTTCTGATTTTGATATAGCTCCCATATATTTTCGCCCGATTTAATGTAAATGGTGCACCAAAGTCCCAGTAAAATTGAGTCTAGAATGACGTGTGTAAAGGTCCATGAAAATCGGTTCAGATTTTCTATAGAAGCTATATCTAGCTTACATATAAATTTTTGTCCGATTTAATGGAAATGGTGTATTAAAGTTTCTATATATTTTATATGGCATAGTGTCTAGAATGAGGCGCACTAAAGACTTAAACTAGAATGGAGTTATTGCGTTCTGTTGAAAGTGGTGCAGATGCAGACATAGCTTCCATTTATATTTCGGACGGGTGACTGATTGAGATTAAATTTGCAGATGAGTATGTTTATGGATTGATGTGAGTCGGATTTTTATAGACAAAAGATCACATACTCGTATTTAAGTTCGTTCAATTTCATGTTAGGATACATACATAGAATATAACCAAAGTGGTGAAGGGATTAAATGCAGGTGACATAACTGTTAAACCAGGAATCCTTTAGAACTAAAATTAAACGTATGAAATGGAGATAGATTGACCACAACTTGCATTAAATGCTTATGGATCACGAAATTGTAATTATGGTTTTAGCCGAATGGAATGCAGTCTAGCATTCCGGGTTGTGGGAGAATTAAAACATATTTACAGTAAGAGTATGTTGAAGGTCGTAACCAAAATTTCCAACTAGAGTTTTTGTAACATGGTATTTCGTTATCTCAGAGAAATTTTGAATGGTCACTTCATGGTGGATGGTGAAAAAATTTGGTGGATGGTGAAAAACATTGATCTTGACTAACTTAACCTAATTTGTACTTGTTTTCAATATATTTCGGAAATAATTATTAAAATATTTTGCTTTTATTTATTTTTATATTTTATTCAATTTAATTATTGGTTTTTACAATTGTCTTGTTGATATTAACTATTAATTGTTTGTATATTTCCTAATTTATACAATAATACATATTTATGGTTAAAGAGATTGGGATTTTTGTTTCATATATATATTTTTAAATGAAAGTTAGTAAGATAATGGATAATGAAAAAGATTTTTATATTTATTTTATGGATTTCTAAAATGTAATATATATTTTTGTTTTAATATTCAAAAATTCAAAATTTATATATAGATTTTTTTAGATTATTTTTAAATTGAATTGTTATTAATTAAAATATATATTCGTTATAAGGCCTTACATAAATGTATATATATTTTTTTAATTTTTATATATATATATTCTAAATTCTAGGTATCAAACTAAATGCGTAATTTTATGAATTATTTACAGATTTTTTTTTCATAAATTTCATTGAGAAAAGGTCGAAAACATGGTTACCAATTTATTTGATTTCAATAAATCTTCAGTAAGGCTTAGAAAATCGTAATCATTTATAGTAAGATTTTCTAAGTTGTATTCAAGATAATACATTGTTGATCTGAAATCCCAATCAAAATATATACTCAAATGAATGTTAGTATTTAATAGATTTTTAAAATATTTTTTTGGATTATTTCTAAAGACCCAAATTATTTTATTTTTGTATCTGAGTATAGATTTGCATTTAAATAAACCTAAATTAAAACTAAGGTATTACTAATCTATTTATATATGTGTGTATAATTGATGATTTATATTTATACAATTGTCGGTAAAAATTAATTGGGAAAAATATGCATTAGTTATTACGGTATTACGGAGTTATAGAACTCGCATTGGTCATATTATTATATTTTACATAGTATTTATTTGAAAATCAAAGATTCCAAATCGACTGCAACATACCCCATGCCCCATACAAAACTCAGTAAAAATACGATGATGGAATTATTTCCAGATAAAAATTATGACGTCGGGATTTCCTATTCGATTTTTATCAAAGAAAATTATTTTTATTTTAATGTAATTGGTAAATTTTGTTCCGATATTATGTCAGATCACAGCGTAATGAAATCTCACAGCAATCTCATTATATTTCTGGCAAAACTTGTTCTTCATAGATGATATGGAGGTCATTTGATTTCTATGGATAGAATTTAGATTTTCACCTTTAATTTAAACCAACTTATTACTTTTCTGCACCCAAGTAAGCCGTTTGGTTGTATGTTATCTGGGTTAGATATGACCTCTAATTGTCACACAATTTTTGGAGCATGTCAGGCAAGTGTTTTTTGATAACAAATTGCTTCTCCTATTCCAAATACCAGCTAATGAAAAATATAAATAATATCATTACTTTTCTACATCCAAGTAAGCCCTTCGGTAATCTATTATTTCACTTAAATTTTAAAGTCCTTCTGTTTTGGTTATTATTGCACCATTTGTACAATTCAATGGTGCCTCCTTGGGCGACGCATTGGAGGTTAGTTGAGTTGGTGTCGTCGGTGGTGACAACTGGCTAACTGTATGCATTTGTTGTTGTTGTTGCTGCTGCTGTTGTTGCGTCTGATGAGAACTTTGATGTGTTGGATATGTTGTTGGTGGCGTTGTTGTACTATGACTTGATGGTGGTGATGTCGATGATGTTTGATGATCCATTAACGATGGCATCATATTAGCTACCAATCCATTCATGGTGCTTTGTGTCATATCCTGAGCTTCGTTCTTTAGGCGAACATTAGCTGCAGCTACCGCCGCAGCATGATGATGTTGATGATGAGCAGCAGCATTACTCAAAGAGCTGTGATGAAATGACAATGGTGGTAAATGTAGGCCGGGGAATGCCAAACCGGCAGCTGCAGCGGCATGTAAAGACTGTAGCAAGGCTGCGGAATGTTCTTGAGCTTTACGGCGTAATTCGGCTACCGAAGATGAACGTGGATCACAATTGCTATGGGCTGAATGTGGTGGTGAATCGGGTGAACTGTTGGTTGATGAACAAGATACGTTCACAGATCCTCCGGCACCACTGCCCGGTGTGTGATGGGGTTTTAGAGGACAGCAGGCACAGAGTCCCGGGAAGGATGGGACACCTAGAAATATAAGGGAAAAAGTTTTATTATTTGGAGATAAATCAGTAAATCTAGGAAACAAATATTGTGGGTGTTTTTGTAACTAGAGTGTTCTGAAAATTTATTCTGTGCAATTATATCGTAAACGCGAAGAGTGGCCAAAACAATTGAGTTTCCGAACCCTATTTAAAGAACTACGATAGTCCTATTTTTAATTCGGATTTCTGAAGGATATGAAACCTTCCGACAAAAATCTGTTAATATGGGCCCATGTTTAGACATATAATTTTCCGATAAATTTTTGTTATTTGTACCCTATTTTAAGAACGTCTATTTAAGAACTACGATGGTCCTACATTTGTTTCGGATTTCCGAAGGATATGAACCTTTCCGACAAAAATCAGTTAATATGGGCCAATTTTCGTTGTTTGTTGCCCTAACTTATGGTGAAGTTCGGCCAAGTTTAGCGGAGCTTTTAATTATTTTTTTTGTATGTAGTCCCACTGCCTATTTAAAAAATCAAAAATTTTTGAAGAAAATTCCATTAGTCTTAGGGAATTCCTAACACATGTTCCTTCCTCTACTGTCTAGCAACTAATTTAACTAAAAGCTTTAAAAATCAAAGGCTGTCAATTAGAATTTGTATCAGCCTCTGACTGTCTGTCCGCCGTTCGTCTGTCTATCGGGCAAAACAAAAATGTTGCTGGGGAAGCTCTACGGAAAAACAAAATCAATCGATAAAGCTTTTCTTTTGACGACATTAATTGCATTTGATGTCGTGGAAAGTTATCTATCTACTTTGATTGAGTTTGTCCCTGAGTGTGGCAGGCATACAGACAGGTTGTATGACTGACTGGCTGGTTGACTGCCTGGCAGGTAGGTTGTTTGTCTATTTTCAAATGCATAACTGATTGACAAATTTTACCAATCTGGGGTTTTCCATCATCCAAAACGATGATGACGAGAATAAGGACGATGACGACGATGATGATGATATTTTAATAAAATCATCATCCATGCTTTTCAATTTTGTTGGTCTAATTTCTCCTCCTCCTCCCTTTCGAGTCTAAAAGGCTAAAATATTGCCTGTGTGATGGAGTGTCGTTATGGGGGATGTGAGCAAAAAATCAAAACCATATCAAATTTCCATAGAACAACAATTATTACCTTTCAAACCGGGAAACAGTGGCTGCTGTGAAAATTGAGAGCTCAACGAGGCCAAATGTGGCGGCAAGAATAGAGAAGGTGCATGATTTGCTCTAGCTGCGGCGGCGGCTGCTGCTGCTGAGGCACTGCTGGCAAGGGATGTTGGTGGTGGGGGTACTTCATTTAAAACCGGTCGGAAACCACAATTACTGGAAATAGAAAGAAGAAAAAAAAAAACAAATGAAGTGAAACAGTTTACTAAATTTTGTACGGGGAAATTGAATCTAAAACAGAAGAACAGATTTAAACTGGATCCTAAAAGTATGCTCCAAAAAATGTTTCAAAGCAACCTTAGCAATCTAGAAGATATTATTTTGTTGTAATAACTTAAACAAATCATATATAATAAAAATCCATCTCTCCTCCCCCATTCTGCAACATTATTACATAATTTTTCCTAGCAGACCTCTATAATTTTATTAAAAACTCGGTAATTCATCCATCATCTTCATTGATTTGCGCTGAGAATATTTGTTGTTTGTTTTCTTTGTTTTTCCTTATCACTTAATGAATATTACAACAACCCGCATTCAACAAATACGAACAACAACAGCATCTCCACATTGTTTCATATTTTTTTATGATTAAATGAAAAAATTGAAAACAAAAAACCCAATCCAAATCGTGTCAATTATAATGTTTCCAATTAAACAATTAAAGACACCACCCGTTAGTTCTTGTGAGTTGAAAACTGGCAGCAGGGTTTTGTTTTTTGTAGTTTTGCATGCAAACGGAACATTAAAAAACCAACGGCCAAAAAAGGGGGATCCTCTTTGCCACCATAAATGATGTGGTAATCCCATATCATCATAGTTTTTTTGTTTCATTATTTTTGCTGCTGTAATGTGATGATATACTGCAAAGAGTAGTAGCTGTTCTTGTTGTTTTTTTCCCTTGGATGCCAAGTTGAATGCGTGTGTTGTTGGGTGTTTGCAGTTTGACATGCCTCCCATAAATATCATTTGTCGCTTTAGCCGTTGGCGTCGTCGTCGTCATTTTTTGTGTCGTTTAATTAATTCTTAATTGAAGAAAATTAAAATATTTTTACTGTCTAATTGTATTTATTAATAAACATATCGTTCATGGGTCATGCATAATCATTGGGAATGATACCAACGAGCGAGCGAGCGAACGAACCCTTTTGGAGGCATGCTAGCAAGTGGCGTAGTAATGAAAACGAAATAGAAGAAAGAACGGGGAGGGGGCAGCAACTTAAGAGCAAACCCAATTAAAGTTTAAATCTTATTTGTAAAGTAGATAACACATAGATTAAGAACTGGAAGAAACTAACTAACTTAATTATTTTATTACATAAACCGTATATTTTAAAAATCTGCTGGATTTCTTTAACAATTTTTTTAAAATGCACCGCTTTGTTGTATGAATTCTTACCATTTTAAAGGTAACATCATAATGTCTCTCTCATAGAAAGTCTGCTCTCTATTTGCAAAAACTCTAGTAGTCGTTTTTCACAATTCTCCAAAGATACCATTTTTTTTCATTAAAGAAATTTTGCAATGCAAGAAAAAGTGTCTATTTTTAGCTCTTGGGCGATGTTAAGTTTGTTAACATTTCCGGGCTACTGGATTACTTTTTCCCCAGCCTAATATTTAAAAATATCCGCTCTTATGCGAAATATATTTAAAGATCCATGCTTATTGGTGGTTCATGGAAAACTTTTGCGAAAAATTTGCGCTTACTCTTGGTCCTTATTTTTTTTAAAGAAAATTCACTCTAAGTGTTTTCGTTAAAAGTGTTTAAATTTTATTAATCACTCGTTAACCCAGACGTCCAAAAATACTAAAAAAAACAAAATTTTCTTAAAAAATATTTTTAAAAATATCTATAAATTGAAAAAAATCTAAAAATTGCAATGAATGTACCGCAATTTTGTTTAATAATGTGTTGATTAAATGTCATTGGAAAAATATATATATTTTATATATAATTTCCTAATTCCCTGTCTATTTTCCAAAAGTCCACCCCTTATCCCAACAGCCAAGTATGAGCATAACATTAATTTTAATTTGTGTACAAATTAAAAAAGAAAAATTAATATTCTTAATTCCAAAGAATCAACGCTTAACTTTTGTGTTAGGACTTCAATTTCAACAAAAAAGTTTTTTTGAGTTTAAAAAAATCTTCTTCAAATTAATTAACAAAATTAAAAATTTTCACACAATAACTTTCTTAATAAGAAATAACTTTGGTAAAAATATTTTTTTTAATATTTGGCAAGTCAATGAAAGAAAAAAAAACACGATAAATTAAAACTCAAACAAACGTCAACAACGAGAAAAAGAAAAAAACACAGCAAATAAAATAAATACACGCCGCAATGCCTTTAGGCCAAGTACATGGTTAATCAGCGAAATGAAATGGAAGCTGGAGAAAAAAATATGTGAATTACTCCCACATCCTTACACAAACATATATTCATATGTGTGTGCGCGTATGGACGTGTTTGAGGGGAGTTAAATTTAATTTCCGTTTGTTGAAATTCATGGAATATTCATGGCTAAAAATAACAACCTACCATTCACTCTCGCTCCCTCCCTCACTCACACACATTTGTATATAAATCCTGAATTCTTTACGCATATTTATACTGTCCCTGCTCTCTTTTGCTCTTTGTGTGTGTGTATGCTTGTGGCAGAATGAAAAATAAAGGTTCTGCTGTTTATTTTTTCAAAAGTTCCTACATTTCCACGATGCGTTGACTGCTTTTTCTGTTAATTACTTAATGAATAATTAAATATTGGCTTAATTTGGTTATTAAAAATTTCGTCGGCATCCGAAGCACAGAAGTTACAAACGAAATGATGATGATGTCGTCCACAGGCATCAGCCGTTGAGAGCACACACACACAACTTTTATAATGAGTTTGGAGATTTATTTTCATTTGCTTGGTTTTTTGGTTGTTGTTGGAGGTGCCTCCTTAATTGTAAATTGAATCAGGTTGAAATTGTTGTATTAACGTAATGGTGAAAATCAAAAAAATGATTACAACCACCCACTTTGTTTGGGCCATAAAGGAATGGCGAAATGTTAATTTTATTTTACTTCATTTAATTAATATTAATTTATTTATCGAAAAGCTTGTGTGAATTTTAGAATGTGATTTTTGCATTTTCTCATTATATACTTTTGGTGTTTTCCAAGGATTTTATTTTATTCTACACACCAAGTAATCTTATTACAAAAATATTTCAGCAGAAATTATTATAAATTTACAGAAATTAGGAGTACATTTTTTTATAGGAAGACCTTCGGGTCTTGTGAAAGACATTCGTCATAGAAAAGCTTGTAAATGGCTTCAGATCATCATGTATACAACCGAAGATGTGGAATTTTATAAGATTTTTTTTCGGTTTTTATAATTTTTGCCATAAGGCGAATTGTTGTTGCTGTGTAGATTTAGTCTATTAAAATCACGATAGATCTAACAATATATTTTATATAGAACATAGCTACTGCGATGTTAGGCATTATTCACGTTTTGAATGATCGATACTATTGCATTCCGGGTTATTGGAGGGCGAAAACAACTGCGCGAAAAATGTCCAATAATGGTATAAACGTTTTTTGGTATATATCCCGTAAAAATGTCCTGCCCTGTTTAAGGCACTGTGAAGGTCCCAGCCTTCGAACCGAAGTTACTCTAATTTGCAATTTCATGTTTGAGTGTGGTAAAAACCTTTACATAATAAATATTCAATATATGTCCTATTTTGACTAGCGTCCATATAAACGTATTCAGCCATTTTTTCATAAGCTGAAGGTCTTGGGCGAACATTCGGAATTTAGATCTTTGATTGCGAAACTATTGGTGAGGAGTTTTAATTCTTTGTCTTCTGGCCGTCAATAATAAAATATCAAATATTATTCGTTTATAGGAACCTTTTTTATACAGCATCTTCTTCTATAAAAAGTCCCTTTGGTGTTAGAGAAGATGACCTTCTTGACTCCTATAATAGGAAGTCCTTTATGACTTCTATAATGAGAAGTCCTTTTTTTCGATCTACATAAGAAATCCTTCCCGTCTTATAGAAATGTTGAATTTCCATAAGACGTCCCTCTGGTATTCAATGGTAAATGTAGGGACTTTTCTCGAAAGACTTCTGGTCTTCTATTGTAGAACCTTCTTGTACTCTATATGAGACCCTTTTCTATAAAAAAGTCCATCGGATATATATACAAAGACATCTCATCTTTTATATGAATATGTTTGGTATAATTTTAAAAGATTATCCAGATTTCTTTCAGAAGACCCTCTGGTTTTCTATAGGAACTCGCTTTGATATTGTCATGAAAAAGCCTCAAGAATTCTCAAGAAGAGCCTTTAGTGTTCTATAAGTTGACCTTCATATGGAAGACCTTCTTAACTTCTATAATAGGACGTCCTTTTTGACTTCCATAAGAAGATCCTCTGGTCTACTATATGAAGAATATATTGATGTTCCATGATTCTTTGATAGGATTTTTTGGATCTCCATAAGAAAACCTTCTAGTCTTGTATAAGAAATTATGTATTTTTATAAGAAGTCCCTCTGGTATTCTATAGAAAAATATATGGACTTTTCTAGAAGACATTCTTGTATTTTATATGGGAGCCTTTTCTGTTCTTTTATATACAGATGTCTGGTATTATTTTGTAAAATTATCCGGATTTCATTCAGAAGACTCTCTGGTCTTCTATAGGAACTCAAAATACATCTGTTCTTCAAAAGAAAATCTCTTTTTCACAGAAAATCCTTTAGTTTTTTGTATATGAATCTTGGTCCTTAATTTTTTAGGAGGCTATACATCTATACCAAAACTTCTGTTATTTTATATGAATATGTCTGTTATTCTTTTTAATGAAAACCAGAGGATCATCTGAAAGAAAGGCTGAAATCTTTCAGATGATCCTCTGGTTTTCAATTCAATAGAAAGTCACTCTGATATTCTGCAGAAAAATCCCCCAGAATTCTGAAGAAGTGCCACTGGTTTTTCTGGTTTTCTATTTCAACGAAACGAAAGACTGGTGGCATTCTATGTTGGTTTTCACTAGAAACCCCTTGGTTTTCTGTAGAAAGGCTTTTTACCTTATTTTTTTATGAGTCATCCTACAGTTTCCTTCTCTTGTGTTGTATCGAAAGACACTCT